ATTAAACTATTTAATATTATTATAAGTCTAGATTATTTGGTTTCCCTAAAAAAAATTAATGTCTATTCGAGCTTAATTAAGAAGTATTAGATGTTGTCACGTATGATCCTGAAACATATGAGTTTTGTGTTAATATCAATGTTTTCGATTTATATTCAATAATTTTATAAAATTAATATCACGTATTCTATTCAAGCAAAAATTATATATAAAATTAATATCAATAATTTTATTAATTAGTGAATTGCAAATCAATGTTTTCGATTTATATTCTATGTTATCTTTTGTTTTAAATTATTTGATAATATCATTATTTAATTATTAGAATACATAGTAGCATAATAAACGTAAGTGCTTGATTTATAATGCACGATTTCACAGGAAAATAGGGTGCATGAAGTCCATAATAAACCATAGCTAAATCCTATTGGCATTTAATTAAGGGTATAGTTCCATGAAAATTAACAATGGGACTTTGGACTGTTCCAAAATTGATAACCGAAAAGGGCCGATTTCAAAATGCTTTAAATTTCTCCATGCATCATCCTTATGATGACGATCAATTTCTAACAAATCAACTCATTGATTTTGAAGGTCCAGATCAAGAATGCATTTTGGGCAGATTCATTTGAGAAAGTCCATTGATTGTGAGATGAGGACATATTCTTCTAGACTCTTTTTTTTTTTTTTTTTTTTCCTTATTGTGCAAAAGTGGTTTGTTTATAAATACTACTTTTGGATTTGCTTCTATTCATTTGTTGTTTTAGTGAAAATTGGTTAAGGAAATTACAAATGGTAGCAAAAGTTGGGAGTTTTATGCACTGGATTTGTTAATGGAATTTTTCCGGGCCCGACCACACGAACGCCAAATGGCACTATGAGCATGTACTCAAAATTCAATAAATAAACGCATAATGTACGCGTGGCAAATCCTAATAAAAGAAATGGTTGACGTTTATTTTCTCATTTTGGCTGCAAGTCCTTGGTCTGCACCTGACATTAGCGGTGTAGATTACAGTTGCACTATGATGTGCCTTGGCACACCTTGCTAGGTGTGTCAGACTAGATTTGCACGCGCCAGCCAGGTAAAAAAAAAGTGTTGAAAAGTTTTTTATTTAACGTGAAACCACGCGTCCGTTCAAATCACACTATGGTGTGCCTTGGCACACCTTGCTAGGTGTGTCAGGCCAGATTTGCACGCGCCAGCCAGGTAAAAAAAAAGTGTTGAAAAGTTTTTTATTTAACGTGAAACCACGCGCCCGTTCAAATCACACCTTTAACTGATTTATTTTTTTCCCCAATTTTGCCGGCATCGTGCCTCGATTTTCCAACCGTCTTCTCCCCCAACTGCAACTCCTCTTCATTCTCACTATTGTTTTCTCTTAATTTTCTCTGTTTCACGAGCAAAAGTTCCCGGAGAAGACAATTTTAACTGAAAAACGCTCAATTTCCGACGATCCCTACTTCACAGGTAAGATTTCTTTGCTTTTCATGTCGATTAAATTTCAATTCCATAGATTTTAAATGTTAAACTTAGAAATGAAAAACCCTACTTCATGGCAGATGGAAAACGAGACATTGCGGAAAATGCTGGTATGAATTTTGTGCCTTGGATTGAAACCATTTTAATTAGAGATTCAATTCACTTTCTAAAACCCTATTTGCAATTTTAAATTCCTGTGCCTAGGGTTTAAAGTAGTCATTGCAGAAGATTGTATAATGTGTTGATAATTTTTTGCCACACAGGATAAAATTAAAGCCCGTAGGAAAAATAGTTCGAAACAACGGCCAGAAAATGTTGGTGAACGGTATGTCCGCCTTGTTCATCTTCATTCGTATATTGGTTCATTTGAACATGTTCAATTTGCTTTTAAACATATTCATTTGTTTATTAAACATGTTCATTTCGTTGTTATATATGTTCAAAGAACATCTTATATAGAATGTAGACATGTTCATTTTGTAATTGAACATGTTCATTATACGATAGAACAAGTTCATTAAATACTGAAACATGTTCTTATCATACTGTAACATGTTCATGATATTATTTTTATAGAAAAAGTTCATTTTGTTTTTAAACATGTTCATTTTGTATATTAACATGTTCATTTTATATATAAACATGTTAATTTAATTATTAAACATGTTCACATCATACTGAAATATTGTCATATTAAATGGGTGCTTAGTCTTTTTGTTTTGTAAAAGTTCAGAGCACATATCATATAGACATGTTCATTATACAATTAAACATGTTCATTACATACTAAAACATGTTCATATCATACTGTAACTTGTTCATTTTATATTTGAACATGTTCATTATAGAATTTAACATGTTCATTTTATACTGTAACATGTTCATATTATACTGTAACATGTTCATGATATTATTTTTGTAGAAAAAGGAAAACTGATACTCTGAGTGAGCAAACTGAAAGAAAGAAGCCAAAATTAACCTCTGAAATAAAAGAAGAAGGGGGATTCTTAAATAGAGTTTTCCCTCTATCGTTGTGCAAATTTTTCAAAGACTTGGATGACTGACAGAAAGAAGATGTAAAGAGTATAGGTTTTGGTCATCTTCTCGACATGAAGATTACACAAATTGCGCCACCAAATCTTTGTTATTTCTTGGTCAGAAAGTACAGATAATTTGTGAAATTTGATTTTCATTAGAATGTACATGTTATTTTCATTCTACAACATGTTCATTTTCTTATTAAACATGTACATCACATTATATCACATGTTATCACAGGTATGCCAGTAACACTCTCATTCTCCGCGGTAATAGAGAGATGAATATTACCGCCGAAGATGTTGAGGCTGTTCTGGGCCTACCGAGAGGACCAAAAGAGGTCATTGAGGGAGATTGGTATGACAAGGATGAACAATATAATAAGATGCTTGGGGATTTGAGGGAGACCTTTGGTTTTAAGCGTACGGCTGGAGCTCCAACAGCCAAAAAGCTGGTGCAATATTTAACTGGAAAGGACATTGAGAGAGGACAGAGAGTCTATGGAGATGACTTTAAAAGAATTTTTGTGATAGCTGTGGTGTCCCTATTTCTCTGGAGAAATAGGGGCCAAGAATGCAAGTTAAGATTGCTCAAATCGTTGCGAAAACCATCTGACATCATCAATTACAATTGGTGCCAGTATGTATTACAAGTTGTATCTGAATCGGTCAACATGTGGAATGAAAGTGGTGGAGAGGCCCATTTTAATGGTCCACTCACTTTCTTGGTGTTATGCTATCTGGACAGGGTCCAGTTTATGAACAAGACTTATGTGCCCCGGAAATTCCCTGCTATTCCTTATTGGACAAATCAAGCAATTTCCAAGAGAGTTAGGGAAGAGCAGAGTGGTCAGGGTTTTGGGATGGGGTTAATACTTGATCCCATCAAACCACCAAGAGATGGAGCGCATCAAGCAGCCACATTAGCTGATGAACATGTGGTCGAGGTAAATTCTGTTCATAATTTTCTACAACATGTACATCTTATCATACAACATGTTCACAAAATAATATAACATGTTGATCTTTATTCTGAAACATGTTCATCCCTTCATACAACAATTTCATCCCTTTAACCAACACGTTCATCTCATTATAAAAAATGTTCATATCATAATGTATCATGTTCATATAATAATATAACAGCTTCATCTCATACAAGTTTTTTTTCCTAAAAAGAAACAGCAAGAAGATTTGGTTGAAAGGTTTGAAAGGGCTATGACAAATATAGCACCATTCGTGTCTGAAGTTCGAGAGGTGTGTGAAAGGCAAAGAGCTCAGATTTCGGTGCTGCCCTCATTATTCATCATGCACTTCAGAACCATGCATCAGTTCTCATGAAAATCGCACAAGGTGTTATTGATGTACAAAGAAATGAAGGAATTGATGATGAAATGGGTTCTGATGGACAGGAGCAGGAATGAGATGCAGGTAACATGTTCATTTCATTCTAAAACATGTTCATATGATTGAATGACATATTCATTATCTTAAACATGTTCTTAAGCATGTTCATCTCCATATTTAACATGTTCATTTCATTCTTAAACATGTTCATCTGATTGAATGACATATTCATTATCTTAAACATGTTCTTAAGCATGTTCATCTCCATATTTAACATATTCATTTCATTATCTAGAAAATGAGGATGAGGAGTCAATTCATGTAGAGGTTGGGGATGATGTTTTGGTGCAAAGGAATTGAGAGTGAAGTGGCAAATGATCGAGAGGAACAGGAACAAGAACAAGAACAGAATGGAGGTAACATGTTCATTTCTCTCTCAAACATGTTCATCTTATTGCATTATATATTCATTATCTTAGAAAATGAGGAAGAGAAAGAGGATGATAATGTGCAAAGAAATGAAGGAATTGAGACTCAAATGGCAACTGATGGACAACAAGAAGCACAAGATACAGGTAACATGTTCATTTCGTTCTTAAATATGTTCATTTTATTGAATAACATATTCATTTGGGTCTCAATATTTATTTATTCATTCTGAAGGTGAAGGAATTCCATGTGAAGGAATTCAATCTATTTTGTCAGATATTTTCAATGAATATGGGGATGGAGAAGACAGTAATAAGGAAGAGGATGAGGATGATGTTGTGGTGCAAGAACGGGAAGGAATTCAGAAAGGACTTGCAACTGATGGACAACAACAAGCACAAGATACAGGTAACATGTTCATTTCGTTCTTAAATATGTTCATTTTATTGAATAACATATTCGTTTGGGTCTGAATATTTATTTATTCATTTTGATTTTGAAGGAATTCAATCTATTTTGTCAGATATTTACAATGAACATGGGGAGGGAGAAGAAGACCGAGAAGAAAACACTCTTGAAAAACATGATCTGCAAGGAGATGCTTCAGTGGCAGATGAAGAGATAAGAGCGGACTCCTGAAAAAAATGAACTGCAAGGAGATGCTTCAGTGGTAGAAGAGCTGAGAGAGAAGACTCCTGAAAAAAATGATCTGCAAGGAGATGTTTCGGTGATAGAAGAGCTGGGAGAGAAGACTCATGAAAAAAAAAAAGATTTAGAAGAAGAAGAAGAAACTGGAGGAGAGAAGACTCCTGAAAAAAAAAGATTTGGAAGAAGAAGCTAGAGGAGAGAAGACACCAAAAACTCCATTTGAGAGAAGATTATTATTTGAAAAGTATATATTTTGTGCTAGTCAAACATTCAACTTGCAAATTGACAAATTAACTAATATTATGAATATTACAGGATGGTTCTTGGAGAAAAAGGAAATAAAGAAGGCGATTTGGATCCCCCTTTCCTATCAACTCCCTTCTGGAAAGGGTATGTTGAAATCAGAGGCAAGTGCACTCTGAAGGAAAGAGCATTTTGGAACTTTATAATGGAAGGGGACAACGACAATGCTGAAAAAACCACGTATGTTCATTTTGTTCTGTAACATGTTCATCCGGTTGTATGAAATGTTCATTAAATTATATAACATGTTCATCTGGTTGTATACAATGTTCATTATATTATATAACATGTTCATCCATTTTTTGTGTAACTGTTATAGAGAAGTCATCTTTGAAGGATTACAAATGGCCTGCACAAGAGAGGATTTCAAGACCTTCAAGCTTGGAGAGTATATTTCAACAACAATTGTTGATGCTTGGGCGATGCACTTGAATTTCAGATTCCACAGCTTGAATAAAAATAAGAATAAATTTTACTTAACAACTAATGTCATGGTAAGAATCCATATGTGATGAACTACTAACACCTCGCTATATCTCTTACACTAAACATTCGACATACTTTCTAGATGGGATTGTCCTTATAAGCTATGAGTAACAGAGATGCGAAGGAATATGTGAGGGATGCAGCTGCAAGGATGAATTTCGAGTTCACAGAAGAAGGGCTTTCACAACATGATATCAAGAATATCAGCCATGTGAGTAAATATGACATGTTCATCTCATTATAAAACATATTCATCTTAGTGTTAAACATGTTTATCTTACATTGGTCTGTTCCATTTTTCAGCTTATTGTCCCAGTCTATTTTCAGACCCATTTCTACCTCTACTGTTTGGACTTTGAAAATAAAAAACTAGGCATTCTTGATAACTTGGATACAGTGTTGAGTGGAAATGTGCCACTGAATAACAAGTATGGCGGAACTAAAGATTTCTTGGTAAGACTTGACTATTTCAACTTACATTCTATATAGTTTTTTTTTTTTTTTATTTTTTAAAAAAAACAATTATTAATTCAGGCATCAACAAACAGAAAAAGGTCATTGAAGAGTACAGAAAATGTACAAGAAACCCTTCAAGAGCCCGTTCAACAAGCTTACCTTGAAACTGGTGAACATGCACTGCTCAGATTCAACAAACACAACGGACTGCGGAATATATGCAATGCATCACATGTCCAAATATGTTTGTGTGCATGCAGACGGCCATGATTGCGCATTCCCTGTGATAGGCAGTGATTCGGTAATATTTTTCATCCTAAATTTTTAATGTTTACACGAGTTGCATATTACAAGTCAAACTGATGTTGATTATATTGTCCATTTCAGAGGAAAAAGGTCCACATGAAGAACAAGTTGGACACTCTGCGGGTGAAGTACTTGGCCAAATTGATCGAGTCTCCAATAAACCAGAAATCAGATGTTGTCCGAGAGGATTTGAGTAATTATTTCGCTGAAAAGACAATCGAGTGATAAATGAACAACTTTGATAGATTTAGTGTTAGTTCTCTGTTAGTTCTTTCTTTGTGTTAGTTCTCTGATAAGACAATTATTTAGTGTTAAACATATTCATAATGTTAAGAAACGTATTAATTTTACAAAGTAACATATTCATTTTACAAATCAACATATTCATTACAAATCAACATATTCATTTTACCAAGAAACGTGTTCATTTTACAAAGTATCATCGAGTCAAACTTAGTATAATCGAGTCAAATTCTAGTATAGTGGATTGAAACTTAGTATAATCGAGTCAATTCTAGTATGATCGAGTCAAATCTAGTAAAATTGATTCAAATTCTAGTTTGATCGAGTCAATTCTAGTATAATCGGGTCAAACGTATTCATTTTACCAAGAAACGTATTCATTTTTCAAAGTTTTCAAAGGAACATGTTCATTTTACCAAGAAACGTATTCATTTTACAATATAACATATTCATTTTACCAAGAAACGTATTCAATTTACAAAGTATAACTAAGTCAAACTTAGTATAATTGAGTCAAACTTAGTATAATCGAGTCAATTCTAGTATGATCGAGCCAATTCTAGTATAATCGAGTCATTTCTAGTATGATCTATTCAACTATAGTATAATCGATTCAAATTCTAATATGATCAATTTAATTCTAGTATAATCGATTCAAATTCTAGTATGATTGATTCAAATTCTAGTATAATCGAGTCAAATTTAGTGTAATCGAGCCAAATTCTAGTATAGTCGAGTCAAACTTAGTACAATCGAGTCAATTCTTGTATAATTGAGTCAAATTTTAGTATATTCGAGTGAATTCTAGTATAATCTACTCAAACTTAGTATAATCGAGTCACATTCTAGTATGATCGAGTCAATTCTAGTATAATTGAGTCAAATTCTAGTATATTCGAGTGAATTCTAGTATAATCTAGTCAAACTTAGTGTAATCGAGTCAAACTTAGTATAATCGAGTCAAATTCTAGTATAGTCGATTCAAATTTAGTATAATCGAGTCAAATCTGGTATAATCGATTCAAATTCTAGTTTGATCGAGTCAAACTTAGTATAATCGAGTCAAATTCTAGTATAGTTGATTCAAACTTAGTATAATCGAGTCAATTCTAGTATGATCGAGTCAATTCTAGTATAATTGAGTCAAATTCTAGTATATTCGAGTGAATTCTAGTATAATCTAGTCAAACTTAGTATAATCGAGTCAAACTTAGTATAATCGAGTCAAATTCTAGTATAGTCGATTCAAACTTAGTATAATCGAGTCAAATCTGGTATAATCGATTCAAATTCTAGTTTGATCGAGTCAAACTTAGTATAATCGAGTCAAATTCTAGTATAGTTGATTCAAACTTAGTATAATCGAGTCAATTCTAGTATGATCGAGTCAATTCTAGTATAATTGAGTCAAATTCTAGTATATTCGAGTGAATTCTAGTATAATCTAGTCAAACTTAGTATAATCGAGTCAAATTCTAGTAGAGTCGAGTTGACATGTTCATTTTACAAATAAACATATTCATCATGTTAAGAAACACATTACTTTATACAAATTCAACATATTTATCGCGCTAATTAACATATTTATCTCATAACGTAACATATTCATCTTATAAGTTGACATGTTCATTTTAAAACGTAATATATTCATCTTATAAGATGACATGTTCATTTTAAAACGTAACATATTCATCTTATAAGTTGACATGTTCATTTTAAAAATAAACATATTCATCATGTTAATTAACATATTCCTTTATAGAATATCAACATATTCATCGCGCTAATAAACATAATTATCTCATAACCTAACATATTCATCTTATAATTTAAAATATTTATTTTATAAATAAACAAATGCATCGAGTTAAGAGACACATTACTCACAAAATCAACATACAGCATGTGCAAAACCAACATATTCATCGGGTTAATAAACATGTGCATCTTTAAAAGACACATGTTCATATGAAAACAAAACATGTTCATAGAAAACAAAAGGTATCTTCATTTTGAGAGGCCATGTTCATGATCGGAGGATTGTATCCAGAACCTCTAGGATCATGTTGAGAATCTTGGTTAGGAGGAAAAGGATGCACACACCGTCCAACAAATTCAGGGTTTGTAGAAAATACCCGGTTAAACATGGTGTTCCTATTCCTCAATGAAGCTTGTTTCTTGTGCTTCCCCTTTGATTGTCTTGAAATTTTCGCCACAGTACTTTTCCGTCGAATGTTTCGTTCTCCTCTAGGCCTCAATTTCTCTGGATCGTTAACATTCGCGGCAGAAGATTTCGCGATACAAGACGGTTCATCTGTAGCTAATGAAGAAAAATGAGACTCTATCCGATTAGACATGGATCTCAAACATTCATCAACAATATCTTTGGCATTTTGATCCATTTTACTTGATGAAACAATCTTCAGAAACTGACATATTTTGTCGGATCTCCAAAGTCATGCACCTGAAATGAACATATTTGATTCAATAATGAATATGTTGTCAGTATTAAATGAACATGTTCTATTGTATAATGAATATCATGCACATGTTTCAGTAAGACATGAACATGTTTCTGTTAGAGTAGGGTACCCGGCGTTCCAATCTAATTGGACGTATTCTACTTGTAAATACAGTCTATTGGAATTATATTATGAATAAGGCATTTCTTTATCTTAAGAGAAAGCATTTATCTTATAATTGCACTTAAGATAAAATCCCTAGATCACTTATGGTTATAAGGTATGGTTGCGCATAGAGATGGTGATCATGGAACATACCTTGAAAGCCGTGATCTTAAATACAGTTCCAAGTCGATGGATGTTTCGAGATGGGATATCGAATAATCCATAAAAGACTTGCACATAGTTTGTATGCTTGTTGGACAAGAATGTTGCATTCCATCAACATTAGCGTAAGACGTAAGTACATTTATGTGGGTGCTTGTTAGAGAACAAGTTCACTGAACATGACCGTATGAAAATTCTTAATGAAGAATTTATTCAGTCGAATAAGAATTTTCATGTTACAATAGTACATGACTAATCCTAAGACTTGAGGCACAATGGTAACTTTGTGCATATTACATTCTACTTTGATTTATCCTTTTGGTAGCTAGCACTATCGTTTAAAGGGATAAGTTGGGTATTATGTTAATATGTATGGAAGTTTGTTAGTGGCCAATAAAGGATTCGACACTTATGAAGATAAGTGAATTTCCTATGTGTTTCATAGTTATTAATCCAAAGTCCTTGGCCAAGGCAGAGATGAATAGTGATTCATAACCGGGTTAATAAACATGAAATAGAATCATAGTTATTAAGTCAATTTGGGTTTCGACAAAATCATACCCAAGACTTAATCGGGAAATTAGATGTCGAAAGGATTTTACATGTATGGAGTTGTAATCGGAATAGGTTTACTCGCTATTCACTTAATACTAGATTCATGCTACTTGCTAGGTGTTACCATGATATGTGGGTTCATAAATTAAAGGGTTAATTCATGAATAAGAGTTAATAAGATTTAACTCAAATTACAAAGTGTTGTAAACCCACTACTAGTATTAAGGTGAACCTAAAAGGTCACACTAATTATGAACAAAGGTAAAGATTGTATTTCTAATGGTTAGAATTAATTGATAAATATCTAATTTGATTAGATATCAATTAAAGGAATATATTAATCAATAAGATTGATTAATTACATTTTGGATATTACTTTAGTAATTAAGGTAATTACTAAATTAATAAAGTTGAATTTTAAAATAGGATTTTAAATTTCAAAAATCCAAAATAATAATAATATGATTATTATAATATTGGGAAAATGATATAATAATAAAGTCTTGAGAAAGATTCTCAAGATTTATTATCCAATTATTATTTATATCTTTAAATATGATTTAAGGATTAAAATAATAAATATGATTATAATAAAATGGTTGTTGATGGTTGTTTGAACTACTTAACATATCTTATTATTTTCAAAGTCAAAAGTTAGTAAATACTATTTAAATAAAATTTGATTTTATTTAATATTACTAAATGTTGATTATTTTATGCTAAAATGTTTAGTATAAATATATGCAAAATGGTTTTGCATTTAAGTGAAGTTTTTGATCCTAAATTTCTAAGTGTTAGAAAGAGAAGAAAGTGTTCTTCATAAAACTTCAAGAAAGAGTTCTTAAAATTCCCAAATAAAATTCATAAATATTCCTATACAAGAAAACCGAGTCTTTTCTACTAGCGAAGGAAAGTCGTCGGAACCGGGCTTCATAGGGTGGATACGTTTAGAGGGAAGACACTTGGATTCCTCTAGCGAGTAACCTCAAGTCGTTGAAGTTACAACCGGGAACCGATTCCCTCATCCATCATCAATAGTGAAGGAGTTCAAGACATTCGGTAAATATTTTTACTAGTATTTACTTTATAGTAACAAATCAAAATTTGTATATGATGCATGTTTTAAAGATGACGATCAGTTAATTCGCAATTAGTATGTACGGGTGTTGTATTTATACGATAAATACTTACTTTAAAAATTTTAAATTCCGCTGCGTACAGCCCGTACGGTACTATCGAACCCAACAGTGGTATCAGAGCCACGGTTATCGTCTTTAAAACAGATTTTGATTTGTTAAGACTTATGAGATAAGCAATATAATTAATTTTTTATATGATAAAAATATTAATTATAAAATTAAAAATCGTTTTTAAGCCACACGAGTCGTGTGACCTTGTCACACGAGTCGTGTGGCATGAAGAAAAATTTTGATTTTAGCTTCGTGATTTTCACACGAGTCGTGTGACCTTGTCACACGAGTCGTGTGAGCTCACACGAGTCGTGTGACGAGCCACACGAGTCGTGTGAGTCTGGGAAAAATTTTGATTTTCAATTCGTATTTTTCACACGAGTCGTGTGATAAGATCACACGGGTCGTGTGACCCTCACACGAGTCGTGTGACTCATAAATTGATATT